TCCCTGCCGCACAGGGTGGAAGGGAACAGACAGCAGAACACCCAGGAGTCTGCTGTGTCACAGGCTGGTAAACAGGTCCGGAATGAAAAGTAGGATCGGTGCCTGACACTTCCTGCTGTAGATGCAGGAGGCTGGGGCAATTTGTCGTTCATCATTTTCTCCATGCCTCGGAATGGAAGCTGCATGGTAGTCCTGGAAAGCATTTTCAGCAGCGTAGTGTCGGGTAGGTTCCCATCTTTGGAGTTCAGGGTAGAAGGGAACAGGTATGGCTGGCTGCTGTAAGGTTTGTAGTAATGCTTGGCTTCGATCTGTGTTAAAGAAGCTCTCGGCATGTAAACCACAACCCCCCCCCGAGCTCAGAATTTCAGGTGACGCGCCCACTTGTGCGAACACTTGGACCTAAGTGTGGAAATAAACCACGAAAGGGTAGTGCCTTTCCAAACTCCTTGCTGACAGGAAGGACCTGTCAGTAATGGGGTATAGAAAGCATGTTCACCCACAGATAAAATATATCGATATCCATAGGTAAGAGATCCATAGAGTGTAACGATCTCCGTGAATGTGGGTGATTACTATGAAATGTCTTAGACTAGACCCACTTTCCTGAAAACACCTGATGGAATTCGAACCCTCTTAGAACAGTGCATTAGAACAGCTGCAACAGTCGAGTTCGCTGGAAGAATAGGGTTTTCCTCCAATAAACCAGCCCCCTTGCTCAGGGCCCCATTTCCTAGCACGTAGCCTGGATTGGGAGGAAAAAGACTGTCTCACACATGTCGGGAAGCACCAGCCCTACCAGCAGTAAACAAACAATATCCAAACACTGTCACGACTGCTGCAGCGGCCTCACAGCTGCTTCGAGAGGACTTGGACTGTCCCACTGGATCTGAAAGGGGCTGAACTGCTTGAGGGGTTGCTTTTGGGAGGTGGGGTGGAGGACAGAGTCTTGCACTCATTTTTCACCCCCCTTCGGGTGAATCACTGACAGCACTCTTGCTTCTGCAGCGTGGTGGGAGGCCTCAGGACCAGACAGCAGCTAGACCTATCGCCAGTTGGAGACAGTCATGAGGGAACTTACTCAAAGTCTTTGTTTTGAAACACATCGAGGGGTTGTGATGGACCTTGTGTCTCGCTGCGGTGCGGTACCGGGAATAGCCAGATGACTGGGAACGAGAGGTTCATAGCGGGAGGAAGGGCCTTCCCAGTTACCAGGTAGTGAGACAACTTGCAGCGTGTTCTTCTCATCCCTCTTGGCCATAGCAGCAGTGTTCCCTCCAGCGGGAAGGAGCTTCCCCCGTTTTCTGTGGAGGGCTGTGAACAGAGAGCAGGAGCACGGAGCTTGCTGTACATCTCTGGGAGGTAAGAACTTCTCCCCCCACCTCGCTGTTGTTAACGAAACAGACCAAGCTCAGTTCTTGGGTCCTCTGAGTGAATTTAAAACTTCTAAAAGAAGTGTTATGGTTGCAGGACTCGGGAAATCCAGCTCAGTGGGCACTGAAGCTGCTGGTCCTGTGCTCCACCCAGGGGCTGTAGCAGGTACCTTACTAAAGGCAGCAGTCTGGCTGCTTTACTAACCAGTTACTCTTCACCTCGCTGCCTGCTGAGGCTGTTGCGGGGCAGTGCTCACCCGCCTGCTACAGCTGGGTTGAGTTAATCATCTTTCTCTCCAAAGCTGGTACCTGGAGAGGCGTACCCTACGTTGCACACGTGGAACGCTATCGCTGCGCCCCTGCTTTGTCACGGCAGCAGCGTTGTGTCCAGCAGCAGCGCTGGGCTGGCTGAAGCCTAACTCCCCTGGGAAGGACCTGCTGAGAACACGTAACGCTGCTGACTGTGGTGTAGTCCTAAATCTGGCAGAGTGACCTTCCCCCGTGGTGGCCCCAGCGTGGCAGTTCAGGCAGCACACCGACTACGAAACACTCGTGCAAAGTAGGTGGGGAGTAAGTGCAGAAGCTCAAAGGTCAGAACCTGGGCGTTTGTTGCTTGCAAAATCAGTGTGTCGCTCTTTCAGATTCTAAACCTGCTTTGAGAGATGGGTACTGCTGGGGCATCCAGGGATGCTCATCCCTGGGAGTGTCCAAGGCCAGGCTGGATGTGGCTTTGAGCAACCTGGTCTAGTGGAAGGTGTCCCTGCCCATGGCAGGGGCATTGGAACTGGATGATCTTTAAGGTCCCTTCCAACCCAAACCATTCCATGATTCTATGATTCTTGCACCCTTCGATGTGAGAAGAGCCTGCCCTTTGCAATAGGGGACAAACAGCTGCGCACTGAAGAGCTTCCGAAGCACAAAGCGTGCGTGTGGTAGCGATCGTAGGGAAACGGTGCTGCGCTGCCCTCTGTGCCCACTTCAGTTTCAGGTTCTACTCTGCAGAACAGTTTTGGAAGTTTAAATCCCATCTTACAATGAATTTAAGGTTGAAGGAAGCAGATTCTGTTCAAGTTAAGGATTAGAATGAGACTTCGTAGAGTGAAGGAAGATACTCCAGAGCCCGTCTTGAGCAGAACTTTGGGCTTTAATGCTAGAATTGACAGTGTATATCCAAGTTATGCATAACGTTGCTGGTTTTAGGATTTGCAAACTAGTACTGCGTTAGGAAGTTGCATTTTTTCACTCAGCAGTTGCAGCCGGCAGTACAGCATCGGCAGCAAGCCTTCAAGGGCAAGAACGGGGTAGTGAGCAAAGAGTAAGCTTTTTAAAAAGTCGGTGCTGCTAGGAAGGCAGTAGTGGGTCTGTTCAGCTTTCTTTCAAAGCAGCCTGGTGCCCTCGAGTGGCTAAAGCCTGCAACTTGCCCCCACGCAGCTTAACGTACAGTTGGGTTCTCTTCCAGGCTCCTGCTCAGGATAACTAAAAGAGACTGTGTGATTAGTGAAGAGAATGCAAGCTGCAGTTCAATCCGACGTCAGGAAAAAGAGCCTTCACTGCAGACGAAGCAGCCGTGTTCCAAGCCTTAGGCTTAGGGTACGTTGAGGACTGTTTTAAGGCTCTAATGTTCAAAACAGGTTTTTTATTTTTTTTAATAATAAATCTGCAAACACAAGCTTTTACCTGTAGTTTAATATTTATATACTGATGGATAGCACCTAGAGGGCCCCGACCAACATTTGAGCCCCTCAATGTCTCTGCCCCAAAGAGCTTACAGTCTAAGCAGTCAAGAAGTAGGAGAAAATAAGAACCATGGTTTTTTTTATAATCAGTAACTGATCCAACCCAGGGCAAGTGATTTACCTGCTCTAAGGCACAGAACGGGGGGTGGGAATTAAGCAAACATCACGTGACTCTTTGCTTCAGGTCTCAGTTAGAAGATGCTTCTTCCCCTCTAGACCACTTTGCTCTTAATAAGAATGAGCCCGTTTGGAAATCTCAGCCTGAAGCTGATGAAGGTCGGGCCTGTTCTCCAGGTTGGGGTGAGAACTGTGGGAACAAAGCAGAGAAGGTCGCTGTCAGCTGGCTGTTTGTATGGTCTGCGGTCAGCTCGCAGGTTTGGGACCTAAAGCTGCCCAAGACTAGCTGTTGGGGGTGCCGTCTACCTTAGCTCGGACCGGTATCACCCGTCTTTTCAATTCAGGGGCTGTCCTACGCGCTGCGAGAGAAGCCCAAATCCTAGAAAGCAGCACTGTCTGTGCACGGCGAGAACAACCGCGTTCTGCCCTTTCCCAGGTCCCCCGACATGAACGCTCGTTGGTGAGTGCAGGGCGGGCTGACGGTAGGGAAGGCTGGGAGAGCTCTTTCCTCTGGGACCTCCTTCACATCTGCTTTTTGGGGGCTGGGGAGAGGCTGCTACCTTCTCATGTAGGCTTCTGAGGAGCCAGCAGTAAGATAAGGGCTTGAGACACTTCCTATTTCATGTCAGCTTTGGTACCAAGTTCTTGAACCAGAGGTAGCAGCAGGTTCAGTTGATTTCTAAGTGCATCAGCCAAGTGAAATGAGTTGAAGGATGCACCTGGCTGAATTGCCCACTCTCTACCAACACCTGTAACTGCAGCTAACGGAAACGAGACAAAGCTGTTAACATTGTGCGCTGTAAACTAAGGAACTTCTGTTTCATACTCGGTTGAAATCAGCACCAATTGCATATAAATCACGGCCACCCGGTCAGGCATCAGTCCTAGGTCTGTCAACTGTGCGTAAACCAGGGGGATTGCTGATGCTCCGTGTTAACAGGGGTAACAAGACTGAATAACCATTAGCAGGTAAATCACTTAACAGTTGTCAGTACTAACAGCCTTCACCTGTACAGAGCAGTACGTGAATTCACAGGTGAAGCTGTGCTGGTCGTTGAGGTGGCGATACGCAAGGAAAACATGAACACACCATCGCTGGGGAGAGCGTCTGCTTTGCCAGGGAGCTGCGGCACCGAGCAGAGCAGCTCAGCAGTCGTGCCGACACAACGCCATCGCTTTTCAGCTGCAAAGAGATGCTCCAAGACACAGATGGATTCGTACGAAGTGACACGGGCGGACCGTGGGCACCGCCGTGCGAGGCCTTACGCGAGCGGTACGTACACAGGAGCTGCTGTATACCGTCACTACGTGGTGGATGGGTAGAAATTCACATCAGATGAACAGATTAATTTGTAAATAGGAAGTTTTCCACCAGCTTATGCTTTATTTTACTCAGGTTTCTTAGCACGTACACTATTTGGGATAAAATGCAAACCACCACTTCAGAGTAGAGGTTTCATGTAAGCTTACCCTTAAATGCTTTGGTAACTGGATATTCCCACAGAACAGGTTTTGTTAAACCAAACCGGTGACTAAAATGTGAGCGTGACTTTTATTCAGAAAAGGATATAGAATATGGCTAATAATGTCACGTATTTTCACAAGGTACAAAAAACCCCTTTTCGAGTGGATTGGGATTTCTCAGCACGAGGAAAACCACCGATAGCGTGGCGTACAACACTTAAACCCTGATCAACGTGGCTTCAGAGTAACTGCGCGTTCCCCAGGAAGGAAGTGAACTGTTCCATGAAGAAGTTGGTGTAAGAGGGGTAAATTCTCTCTCTGTAGCACAAGTTTCATAATAAAATACTGTCGTATGGTTTAATTTCAGACAGAAGCATTTTTCTATCAGTCTGGTTGGTTTCTAAATGACTAAAAGTTTCAACTAAAAAGGTGTTTACACAATATACACATTTCATTACTTACAAAGAGAAATAAGCTTAAAATTTCATATTAAAAACCTGGGATACAGTAGGGTTAGTAGCACCATGAAAAATGTTTTTCAAAACTGCAGTCTTGTTATTTTAAACATACTCAGTGCGTCGTGTTTTTCTTTATTCTCTTGGCTGATCAAAAAGGTGCCATTTTGGTAACAGGGAGAGAAATGAAAGTTGCATCCTCCGATCCTCTGCGAAGCCGGAGCGTTGTCTGTTCCCAAGAGGTCAATGCTTTCATCGTAGTGCTCGTCAGCGACGTACCGGACGACCCTCAGTTTGGCACGTGAGTGAGGTACACTGGAATTTGCATGGTTAGAACAGTTTGGATTTGTTTCTCCTTTCCGCACAGTAGCACCATTGTTGCAGCTGGAAGACAGTGCATCTTAGGAATTTTCAGCTGTTTTATAAAACGTTCTCCGAGACGTTACGTTTTCTTCATGCAAACTTGGCAACGACTAATACGCGTCCTCAAGTCTCCGGCTTTCAGTGTCTCTGACTGAGGTTTACTGGGTGACAGACACAAAGGTAAGGTTAGGTTAGCTTTTTCTGTGCTTACAGAACGGTTCCTTTAAAACTTCAGGCGCGGTTCGAGACAACCCTTAAGTACATAAGTGAGGAATTAGGGCTGGTTTTGAGTTTTCCTCAAGAGCGATCTCTGCGTGTCCTTGACAGCAGGTGACAGATGCCCGGTTTTGTCCGGGGTCTCGGCATACACAGCCTGTGCCCGTCAGCCACTGCAGCCTGGCACGTGATAGGGCACAGATACCAAACCAAGTGGCAGGTGAATTTTGTACATTTGAGACTGTTTCTGGGGTCTTTGGTCGTAGCCTTTGGGTTTCATCATCATCATCGAACGATTTGGATTGGAAGGGACCTTAAAGCCCACCCAGTGCCATCCCTGGCTGTTCAGAGGCGTGGCAAGAATAAACCCCAAACAAAGAAAACGCGATCTTTGGGCTACAAATCCAGTAACCAGAGCAGGACTGCTTTCAGAGAAGGTACTCCTAAATCTGAATAAGAACTGACATAAAAAGGATCTGCCTCCTTGCAAAACATAATGTGCCCTAGCAAGTGTTTAAATAACGCTCAAGGCTTACTAAGGAAACACTTGAAAAACTGGTTGTGAGGGGGAAAACAGGCTCAATTATTTCCCTGTACCCCTGTGAGCAAATCTCTTTTGATCTTGGGAATAAATTCTGTTTCCAAAGCTTTCATTCTGGAATGAAGCAATATACAAGAAACAGGTTTCCTTACCTGAACATTTCTGACACCTCGACAGTTGCCAGCCAGAAACTATACGAGTTGGCATAGTAATTGCAGGTGCCACGACCGTGGCATTCAATAAATGGAGCCGAGCGGAATTCTTCTAAACAGGATCCAGGTGATGCCAAGGCCTGCCCAGAGCCCTCTGCTCCTGCACTGGTGTGCTGGGGGAGGGAAGAAACACAAACAAGAGTCTTAGAGTAGGTGCGACAAGTGAAATGCCCCAGCATGCAACTACTAAAAGCGCCGCTGTTTGTTCTTGGCCGCGATAACGTGGGGTCAGACCCCCCCATCAAGAGCAGTTACGCTGGGCTCTGAGTACGGGAAAGTCACCGTTGGTCTTGGCTGCCAGGGTTAGTGACTGAAGGGAAAGGCTGTCGCGTGACGACCGCTGGAGTCCTAACCAAGGCCTACAGCAGGCAGCGGCTGAGGGGCACTGCTGGAGCAAGAGGCAGTTCTTACCATCATGAAAGAGTAACCGATCCAAAGGGAGTCCCAGCCGGGAGGACACGAAGGAATCTGAATGGTCTGGCTGTGAACAGCTATCACCATAGCAGGAGCTTCACACACAACACATCTGGACACGGGAAGCACCAGAGAAACACGTGGTATTAAAATATAATAGGGGTATGTTTTATTAAGAATATTTGTGCAGAAAAAGGCAAACTAGCCTGTGAGAGGCTGTCCTATTAATTAAGACTTCTCCTGTGCTTTGTTACTGCAATAAGACAGAATTTGGGAGTGTAAAACCTGCCTGCATCTCCACTAACAACCATTGGTGAAACGCTGAAGCAGTTCCCGAAACAAAAACCGGAAGCTCAAGTCTCCAAGTGGATGCCTTAACCCTAGAGCTGGCAGCTCTCCGGTTCTCTCCTGCCCACGGTGATCCCGCACTGCCGGCTACGTGGCTTGTGCCGTCGAGGAGAGCTCTTACGGCCTTTCAGCCTCTAACTGTCACTGCTGCACACCGACAGACCCTTTAACACAACAAATACATTAAACCAAGCTGTTTTCCTAGTATCTCCCAGAGCAAACCATGACAGATTCATCTCCCAAAGCCAACCTGCACGGTGGAAATAACGCAGAAGTGCTGGTTATTGGGATTTTAGAGAGACCCGAGGCCTGCTTTGTCTCACCGGCTAATGAACGGCTGGATGCTTTGCCCGGTCAGAGGCTCCATGCTCATCGGCATTGGCTCCGGAGTTGATAGCCAGTAGGAATAGTCATTCCTTGATGCAAAATTACAAACATTGTTGATGTTGCAGAACATGAAGGGCATGGCGCTGAACCGTCTAAGACAGCTCCCAGCAGTACCTACGGAGCGAGATACATAAAACGTGACAGCAAAGTTTTCACTTCCTTGCTTTTTATGGGAATGCTTTGAGAACAGTAATGGTGTGTTCTTCCCCCCCACCCACGAGCGCACCGCACGTGCTATCAAAGTGTCACACGTGGGAAAAACTTAACTTCTCCGTTTCGGTTTACATTCTCATCCTGAATGACAAGGCGCAACCTCTGGAGGTGGTAGATGTTAGCACCCAATCCCCAGCCTCATCTAAGACATCTCCAAGACTGTCAACTCCTCAGCGAACCAGAGCATTTGAAGCAGCAGCTACCACCTTTCCCCTTAAAGAGGGAGCACAGAGAGTATCTCACCCAAGTCCTGGCCATGTGCTCTCTCATTCCCCTGCACATACAGAAGAGAAAATCCATCGTATATTCTTGACGTTCCTTGTGGACACAGAGGCGTATCCCTGGTCTGGCTGTGCCGAGTTATAAGGAATCCGTGAGCAACAGAAGCTGTTCCAGGAGGACCAGGTGGGCCTTGTAAACCATCAGGACCAGGAGGTCCCTGTATTCCTCGTGAACCTGTTGACACGAGAGGCGTGCGCACAGCGTTACTGCTAACGCAATTCCTTGCTCTTTTAGGACTGATGTAGGTCTGAAAGGCGGCACGGTCTTGTGATGGAGGTGCTTGTGCGTTGGGGGACCTGGTGTCTGCTAACGCTGTCTTCCTCAAATTACGTTTTCATGTGATCTCAGTTAAACCCCTGAGGCTGTCACAGCTCGTTACAAAGTAACAGCACAACTCCCCTGTGTTGCAGGGGTCTTGGAAAGTTAAATTATTTTACTCTCTCTCTCCTGTTTCCTACTGTCATCTTTACCTCCTGCACATCATCTGTGCTGCAAAGGGGATGTCGTTAAGCTTGAGATAAAGCACTCTACAGTATTACTCAGCTATGAGTGGCAGTGTGTTCGTTCGAGGAATAATCCAAGCCCAAGTATGTTCAGTTTGTAATATTTTTGCATTAAGAAAATCCTACAATTAGGATTTTATTCTTATTCCCGTGAGGCAAAGATCTCACTGCCCAGTGTTAGCCTGCACTCACGAAAGGGAGCATCTCTCTTTCCCCTGGGTCCCCATAGGATAAACACCATACCTGGTTGGCCTGGAAGACCTCGCTCTCCTTTACGTCCTGCTGGACCATCAAAACCAGGTAGTCCGTCTCGCCCCGGGTCGCCAGGAAGACCAATGGGACCTAGAACAGCCAAATGCAGAACCGAAATAAAAGCTCTGAAATCTCACTGTCAAAATCTTTAAATTGTCTGGGACTCGTCTGTTGTTTCCTCATGACACATCAGACGAGACCGTGAACCCCGATGTCCACGGCAGAGCCCTGCATTTATCTGTTCCCTCTTGCGGAATTCAGCAGCATGTCCCTGCAGCCTGTGCCGAGTGACTCGCACTGCAGCTGGCTACGCCGGGTGTCGTTTTCTCCCGGGACCCCCAGGATCGTACCTGGCAATCCCTGTGGCCCTGGCAACCCAGGTGGCCCCTTCGACCCAGGGTGTCCCGGAGGACCCGGGGGACCAGGGTCTCCTTTGACAACGATGCTTCGTCCGATGGTACCTGGCAAACCTGGTGGACCTGAGAGAAAGCAGCTTCGTGTTAGATAAACCGAGGTGGAAGAGCATTAGAAACAGCTTCTGTTACTCTTTATTGCAAAGTCGGGAGCCAAGAGCTCCACCAATGCAAAGAATAAGGCAAAAAAGTGCTCCAGGTGACCCCCCAAAGGGCATCTCTTGTAGGGGTTAACCCACGTAGGGTGGACACAGAGTATAAAATATGGAGGGATGACTTACAGGGTTAAAAATTATAGCCTGGATTTGTGCTTAAGCTGGTGCTCTCCTTGCTGGCTGAGACTCTCAGTCCTACCTCTGTGCCACAGACTCTGCTGGCGGGGAGCCACAGTGACCATCACGCGCCGCAGGACTCCTACCTGGTGGGCCTGGCAGGCCTTGACTGCCTGTGAGGCCGGCGGGTCCTGCGGGTCCGGTGGGCCCCTTCATACCTGAAACATCAGATTCACAGTTACACGGTGGAAGATGCTGTCCTACAGATTCTGCTGCAGGAACGGCCAAAATCGGGCTTGTTTCTCCCTGAGGGGCTGTTACTGCGTCTGGGGGTTTTCGCTGGAAATGGCAGTTAAATACCTGGGAATCCTGGAACTCCTGGAACCCCGGGATCGCCCTTCATTCCATTCAGACCTGGACGACCAGGATCCCCCTGAACAGAACAGCTTCGCGTTACTCACATCTCCTCGGCAGTTCCAGAGAAACAAAGAGCAAGGGGGGCGCCGCAACAGCTCCGGCTCCCGCCGGAATATAGCGGGGACCACGCTGCCCAGATCCTGGGGGATGCTTAAGGAAAAGACCCTCTTGCTTGCTACAAGGCAGGGTGTTAGCTACCACAATTTGGCTTTTATTTTACTATGATAAATTGCATATTCCACCCAAATATATTCCATTTTTACGGCATTTAAAAATAAACCCGGGGGAAAAATCCACCTCTTGTCCTACCTGGCGTCCAGGCAGTCCTTGATCTCCCTTCTGACCAGTCAGGCCAGGTGGGCCAGGTGGACCTGGATTCCCTTTTTCCCCTTTAAGTCCTCCGCTGCCGGGTGGCCCTCGTGGACCTTCTGGGCCTGGTGGACCTTAACATGCAGAACAAATACACCTGTATCAGTTACATATCAATCATTCTCCTCAAGTCTGTGCCTTCAGCGTAACAAAAAAACCCATTAAAGATTATTTTGGCTTGACCTCCCAACTCTATTTCAATGCTGAACTCCGGATGACCGAAAAGGCGAACAGAGGGAATATTTGCATCTACCCAGTCAGGAACCAAGGCTCCTTGGTCAGCTGGTGAAGAGAAGCAGCTCTTTCCAACAGGCGCTGCGAGGTCACCGGTGACCAGACCGGTGCCTTTAGCAGGAGCCAAGAAACCCCGAAGTAAATGGTACAAACATCCCCTCTGCTGACCTGCATTACTTTCACCATCTCTTCAGCGCTATCCTAACAGACCAAACTCCTTTTTAAAGCCAGCCTCAACAGCGTTAAAAATTGCTGCTGGTTTTGCTGTTGGAGCCTGACATACCACTTGAGGAGCCGGCACATACTGCTTATTGACTGCTGGGCAGCAGCAAGCCCATCATTCTCTCATGCCTAAATAATAATCAGAGTTGCAGAATCTTCCTGATGCTGAATGACTCCCCTGCCAACTGGTTTGTCTATCTTTAGTGGAATTAGGCTATGTAAATCCAACAGAGGAACTGGGCTGGTCTTTAAATATTTTCCCTTGCCTACAGCCACATTAATGCAAAGCAAAGCAGTGGATTTAAGAGAAACTCAGGTGTTTGGAGAATGGAAAGATGAGAAGACAAGCCCCCACCCCACCCCACCCCCCAGCCTTTATGCCACCATCTAAATAGAA